TTCTGGTGTTCTACCCTCTCCCCTCTAATGGAGGTACTGTGGACAGCTTTGAGGTCTCTAGATATCTAAGCAGAGACTCGTGCGTACAGAGCCTTGTGTGATTTCAGCACCTTTCATGACGTTCATTTGCCCTCCCTCCGTTTCCCCCCTTTCACTATCTGTGATCCTGTTTACCAGTTGTGTGCCTTCTCTGTCACCCCTCCCTCTTTTACTGTCTGTGATCCATTTTCTTTAATGTTACGGTGCTACCCTTTTCCCATCTGCAGTCCAGTTTTTATTCTATTTTGTCCTCTTGCCATCCCTCTTCCACTCAATCTAGAATCTTCTAATGGAGATTCATTCCCATCTCCGACCCTCCCCCACACCCCTTGTTTCTCTTCTGCACATCTCCCCTTCAGTCATGGGCTTCTGGCCCATGAATATCGATGAGAAGGATACTGCTTTGACCCAGAAGCCTGGAATGTGCTGGATGATGAGGTCTCTGCGCTCCAAAAAGGGTCTTCGCATCTGGATGAATTTGCGCTTGAGACGCAGGAAGGCCTTGCCTGCCTTGATGTTCACCGCCTCCAGGTCCATTTGAATGCTCTCCAGGGCCTGCAGTATGCTTTCCATCCTCTGGGCACTCCTCTCTCGGCTCTCCTTCACCTTCCTCTGCTTCCTCCTCCTCCTTCTGCGCCATCGCAGCCGCCTCCTCATACTTTCCTTTTCATCCTCATCCTCATCTTCCACTATGATGATAGCCTCTTCCTTCCTCTTTGGACCTACTAACATCTGGGGCCCCCACCCCCCTAAGCTACAGGTTTCTAGGGCCTTCTCTCCAGCAAGGCTGCTGGGCTCTGCAACCTGAAAGTCAATTTCCAGGCTTCCCCCCGAGGTTTCTGAAGAGGGGAGTGTTTCCACGATCCCTGTGGGAGGGGGCTCCCCGAATCCTGATTCCACTGTAGGATCCCAGTCGGGACTCCCAGTACCCAGGGTAAAATACGCACGAATCCCTCCCTCCTCGAGAATGACATAGGGCAGTGGTGGGGGCAGCGTGGGGCCCACCCCCCTCATGTCAGCCAGCACCTGTGCAGCCTCGGTTTCTTCCTGGGGTCTCGGACGCTGCTGAGGTGGAGGCAGGGGCAGTCGCAGGAGCGGCGGGGGTGGCGGGGGCGGTAGGTCGAGCTGACAGGGTTCCGAGCTGCTCAGGCGGGGGGTCTTGGCCGGAGGCCCCTCATCCGGGCGGTCCATGGTGACCGCGTTCAAAGCTCAGAGAAGCGCACTGGCTCTTCTCTGCTCTCAGACGAGGCCGTCGCCACCAGTCACACTTGAAGCGGAGCCGCCACACCTCACGCGACCAGCTCTGCTCACCACCTCGCTCTGACGTCCCCTCCCACAGCGCCAGTCGCCGAGGCCCCGCCCACTCCTTGGCAAGGCGTCTGTTCTGCCCACCATTGGCTGCAGGCCTCGGAGGTGGCGTTAGCGTTCCCTCAATCCCTGCCTTCTCTCACGCAATCCGCTTGCCAACACTACACATCATCATTTTCTAATTGGCTCCCTTCGTCCCCACCAATCATCAGGCTGACTGCCCCAGTGATGAGAGGAAAACTGCAGGGCGATTGGCTGTGAGGAAAGCTAGGGGAAGAAACCCCTCACCCTCATTTTTGCAGTGTTTTATCCAATGGGAAAAGTACCAGCGATTCGGAAGACCTAAAGACTAGACCAGGGGCGGGTGGCTGGGAGTGCGCAAGCACCAGGGAGCGAGATGTGCTCCAATGAAATCAGAGAGCCTCGCTATGGTTCTCCCCGCCCCGCTCTCCAGATCAACTACGCACTTGTTAAAAATCCGTCCCTTCCCCCACCAGCTCATGGCGCCGGGAAGGGGGGGGGCGAGGAATGCTGTAGTCCCTCAGATGCAGGCTGCTTTGATGTACAAGCAATTTAAGTATCTGAGGTCTTTGGTTTGGTGGTCAGGTTTTGACATGGCTTTTTCCATCTCTGCAAAATGGCTCCAGAAATAATCACAGACGCAAAAAAGTAACTTCCTCTGCGTCATAAAAATTGATTGCGATTCAACTAATCTGCTAGATTTTTCTAGAACTTTAAAACTCTCTTTGTTTACGCAGAATTGCTCCTCCCAACCTTTCCTAAGTGAACGAGGCTATTAATCATACCCTAAGATTTTATTTTATTTATGACCAGAGATAGCTGGTCTTTGATGAGGTATGATGGTGGAGTTTTGGCTTTGGTTCTATCGACCACTGTGACTCTAGCCAAATCACTGCCCCTCTCTGAAGTTGTTTCCTTTAAGTTAGGCATTCCTGAGGAGAGGAGATAATTGCCCATTGCAGCCTTGCTGTGGTAGCAGAGGGAAGGAACCTAGGAATCCATTACCAGGAGAATGGATAAAATGTGATATATGTTTTAGATGGACTACTAGAATGAATTTGATCTATGTATAGCAACATGGCCGGATCTCTCCAAAACAGAATGCTGAGTGAAAAAAAAGAAACAGAACAAGATTTATAGTACAATACTGTTTATGTAAATTAAAACATCGATACCATATATTTTCCACAGATACACATAAGTAAATAAACGCATGAACGGTGATTTGGAAGGACACACATTAAGTACAGAAGAGTGGTGCCTGTGTGGGGTGGGGAAAGATGGGATCGGGGATGGGTGATGACGGGGACAAACAAAATAATAAAAGGACCTTGCATGGACCAATGATGATATAGTGCGCCAAGAATTGAGGAATATGGTCAGCTCAATTCTGTGCACCTGAAGGAATAAGTAAATAAATAGTAAATTAATTGAGCGCCTAGGGAGTAGGCCAGCTGGGTAGACCCCCAGACTTGGGCTTTTTCTCCATGTCATCCTTCCTTCTGAATTTAGTCAAAGCTGAACAAAGTCCCAACTGTATACAGTGGAACCTTAAGAAGAACTCCCAGTTCAGATGGAGCGGTTCCTCTAAAAATCATTACATTGCAGGGGACCATTTCTTAACCTCATTACCTCCATGTTTAACACCCCCATTCCCAGTTCCTATTTCCATGGTGGTCCAATTTCTGAAATACCTTATTTGAATTTTGGGGTGGGGGCTGAATCTCCAGACATTTGGAAGAGATGAGGTTCTAAACTATTCTCTCCTCACCTGGTGCTCAGAAGCTGGGCCAAGGGAAGACAATCTTATGAGATGGGAGTTGACCCTCTTGACACATACATACATAAAACTTTTCAGGTTCATCTCCTAAGCACTCTATTTCCTGCTGCAGGCACATACTAAGTTTTGTCTCCTCTCCTTCCTGTGTCTCCTCTCTTCCTGTGTCTCTCTGTGTGTATGTGTGTACACGTGTGTGTACCCTATTTCCTCACATATAGGTATTTGCTTATATATGTGTAGCAGGCAAGTTTTCCTCAGGGTTTCCTATCCACACAAAGTCACACAGACACACACTGTCTCACTTAATCATACCTCCCCACACGTGATCATACACAGATAGGACACACAGACACAGACACATACACACACGAAAGAAAGAGAGAGAGGGAGAGAGAGAGAGGGAGAGAGAGAGAGAGAGAGAGAGAGAGAGAGAGAGAGAGAGAGAGAGGGGAGAGAGAAAAAACATCCAATATAACATTGTTCATTTCAGTTTTTCCATTTACAAAATCCAATGATGAAGCCAGGCAGTTAGAAAAAGGAAATGGAGGAAAACCCTCCTGAATCTACCCTATGTGCCCTCTCACCTTGCTCTTTCCACCCCTGCCCTCAGAAAGGCATTCCTATCATCAGCACTGAGAGTACAGCCCCACCCACAACACATTTCCAGCCTCTCAGCTACTCTGGCCTGCTTTTCCAGGGCCTCTCCACAGCCAGGGTCATCAATATCTTTTCTGTCTGGAGCACCTCCTTCATTGCTTTTGGGTCAAAGCTTCCTTAGTTCACGGGCTATCTTTGGGGTAGAATTGGAGTTTAGGATAAGGAAATAAAGGGGATGGAGAGATCACAGAGATCACAGCCCCAAACGTAGGCAAAGAGTTCCAACTTGGCTCACCAGTCTACGGAACTGGCCTTGAAGTCAATAAGCCCAGGGTGGTCTCTGTCTGTGGAAAAGAGGCTTGGGACCTTCCACCTGTGGAACTGAGTATAGTTTGTTCCACTTTGGGTATAGGGAAGGGTGGAGGGAGTAAAAACTGCAGGGAAGGATGTTTGTGGCCTGGAAGGGCCGCTAAGGAAGGGGCTCAAGGTCTGGGAGACCTGGAAGGGACAAAAAGAGGTCAGGCAGGATTGGACTCAATTCCCGGGTGCCTTGAAGTTTGTATCACTATTGGTTACCAAGGCTCCCAAAGAATTTTTTGTTTTCAGAAGAATAGTGCGAGCCCAAGAAACAATTGTGGGGTTGAATTTAGCTCTGACCCCAGGCTCTGGAGTCCAGCCACTCTGGGGAGTTCAACTATCTCCCTCTACTTCCATGGATGACTTCCCCACCAGCATGTGTCCACACCATCCCTGATGGGGACAAGCAGATAGTCCTAGGAAGAAAGGGTGGGGAGCCAAGAGAAAGCTTGAGAGAATGTAGCTAAGTTTGGTATATTTTGGTTGAGGAGCTCATCTACCATTCGGCTCTTCATCTAGCCTGGGCACATCATGGAGGCCCTTCTTTGTATGCTCTTGGCTTCTCAAACAGAGCCTCAAGAAACACCAGCAAAGTCTGGACACGATAGGGAGGGATAAGGAGACCAGGCTTGGGATCAAGGTTAAGCCAAAAACAACATTGCACACAACATAGCAATTTAAACGTCCTTGCTCCCCAGGAGGGCAGCACCCCATTTGGTCCCTCTTGTGTGAAGCCTTAAGTCAGTATTTCCTAAACATCCAAGTTCTTGCTAAGGGACTTAGAAGGGGAGGGTGAATGGGAACCTGGGGGACAATAAGATCTCTGGACATCTATTTTACAGGAGAAAATTTCCATTTCTTGACAATGCCAAAAGGGGGGTGACTTTTAATCAAGAAAACCTGTTTCCTCAGCTGTTGTTATTAAAAACCCTGCATTTTCAGTTTGTTTTCTTTTACTGAATCGTCACTTTAGAAAGAGGAGAAGGGAGAGGGATAAGGAGGCAAGAAGGACATGGGAAAGAGATTGTAGAAGTGGAGGAGGCTGCAGGACAAACTCCACAAAACTAGAAATGCCTCTTTCCCAATTCCTCACCCAGTTTCCACCCCTAGGGAGGTGTTTGCAAAATGCCTCAGTTATGGATGGTTTGAGAGCCTGGGCTGAAGCTCAAAAAAGAAGGCTTCTGTGTGTGGGTCTCACTCTTCCCCTGCTGTTGGCCCCAGTATGGTGATCACGACTTTCCCCCTGCCTATCACCTACTGGCTTGCTTCACATGACACAGTAGGGTTCCCTGGGAGCTGGGGCACCTCCTGTGCCCCAGCAAGGGGCATGAGTCCTCAGGCACTTCTTGAGGTCCTTGTTAAGCAGGAAGCAGACGATAGGGTTGACGGCAGCCTGGGCGAAGCTCATCCAAACAGCAGTGGCCAGGTAGCGGTGGGGCACAGCGCAGGCTTTCACAAACACTCGCCAGTAGCAGGCCACAATGTATGGCGACCAGAGGAGCAGGAAGAGCAGTGTAATCGCGTAGAACATTCGGCCCAACTGCTTTTCACCCTTGACCTCGTCCATGCCCAGTAGCCGCCGGCTAGCTGCGTGCCCATTCTGCCGGATACCCAGCAGAGTTGGTGGCATGGGCCCACGGCCAAAGCCAGCGATCCAGTTGGCAGCAGCCTGGCCGGTAGCCCCAGGGCCATGGAATGTCCAGTTTTGGCTGATGGCTGGCACCATCTGCACTGGCTTCATCTTGCGGTGACGATACTCGAAGAGTAGCAGCTTGCCATAGACAGCATGTGTGGCTGCCATGAGCACAGCCAACATAAGCATAAAGCCCAGTGTGTCATTTGCTTTGAAGTAGCGATGCTCAAAGATGCACTGGTCTTCCTCTCGGATAAACTTGTAGGTGCCCACATCAAAGACAGGTGGGAAAGCCATGGCCACAGACAAGGTCCAGGCCATGCAGATGACAGCTGCGCATGTCCAGAGTGTCATGCGCTTGGCATAGAAGCGGTGGTGGGCGATGGCCATGTAGCGGGTGACGCTGATGCAGAACAGCATGAAGGCCGCATGGAAGCAAAAGAGCACAGCCATGAAGGCCACAATCTTACAACTGAGTGCACTGAAGGTCCATGAGGAGCCATGGCGCACAGAAGCCAGTACAAAGGGGAAGCAGATGGCAGAGCGTATGCCATCAGCTAGGCACAGGTCCAGCAGAAAGTAGTAAGGAGCCTTGTGCAAGGCACGCTCCTTGAGCACCAGCAGGGACAAGATGGCATTGCCTGCCAGGCTTACACACATGATCAGTCCCAGCAACACCAGCTTCACGTAAGCCGATGCTGATGGCAGGGACAGTGCGCCGCTCACCTCCTCAGGCTCTCCGGTGGTGTTGGCCATACTGAGGGGCAAGGGCTACCCCAACCCTAGGGGGTCGGCCAGTCCAGTGTTTGATGGGCCCTGGGGGACTCCATCAGTTGTCTTGCTGAGCTACACCTGCAAATGGGGACAATGGAGGGAGATAGAGACAGAGAGATGGAGGTAGAAGACAGAAAAATGCGGAGACAAGAGAGGTAAATAATGAGATTGAAAAATGGAGGCAAGGGTATAAATGGATAGAAAACAACACAGAAATGGAAGGAATGGAACATGGAGGGGGGGTTGGAGAAACAGGTGAGAAAGAAACAGAAAGGGCAGGTTAGTGTGTCTATGAGCCCTTCCCGCCAACTCCCCAGATATTCCTGCTCCTACCCCTCCCTGCTGGGCATAAGTGCTTTGTCTCCTAATGTCCTCAGGCACCTCTTTCTCTACTGGTGGGTCTGCAGGGCTGCGGATGTTGTCCAACTCTCCTTTCCTTTTACAAGCCATAAAGCTGTATTCAAGCATTGATTTTTTTTTACTGCTACCCACAAACCAGTACACATAGGTACACACACACACATACACACACCTCAACTAAAAGTTTTACACAGTACTAATCCTAATTGTAATATACTTATTCATTTCTGTTGTATTTCATGTTTTGTTTTATTAAACTATTGACAGACAGTCACTCATTAGATTTCTTTCCACCTTTTGCTCCCCTCCCCCCACCTTGTACTTTGTTTCTTCTTCTCTGGCTTTTCTTCTCTCTGTACTGGGTGGGGATTGAATTTACAGCCTCAGGCCTGGTAGGCAAGAGGTCTGCCAATGAGCTATATCCCTACACCTTTTAAAAAAGTTACTATTTAAACTTTTAATTTTGTAATAGGGTCTTGTGACATTGACTAGGCTGGCTATGAACATTTTCCCCAGCCCAGGCAGGCCTTGAACTTGGGATCATCCTGCCTCAGACTCCCATGTGCTAGGATTACAGCTCTATGCCACGATACCCAGCAAAATATCTTTATTTGTGGTCAGGAATGTGCGTAGCATGTCTAGGAGCATGAGAAGTGAGAAGACTGATATTAAATGGTGTATTTCAGAGACACAATGGTGGGAGGTGAAGTCACAGAAGACCAAATGTAGGGTTGTGGATTATGAGAAAGCCTCTGGCTTTTGTTTTGTGTAAATGTAGGATTGTATATGACTATATAAATGTAAGTATGCTTTTTGTGTTGGCTCAATGAAAAAAATATTTCTTTACCTTGGGTCATTCACTGTTTTAGGCACTGAGGATGCAGTTGTGAATCAGAAAGATAAGATTCCTACTCTAGTACTTGGGAGGCAGAGGAAGGTAGATCTCTGTGAGTTCGAGGTCAGCCTGGTCTACAGAGCTAGTTCCAGGGCAGCCAGGGCTACACAGAGAAACCCTGTCTCAGAAAACAAATAAACAACAAAGAAAGAAAAAAGAAAAGGATAAAGATTCCTAGTTATCCTTTTCTTTTTTCTTTCTTTGTTGTTTATTGACAAATTAGGTAATAAGAAGAGACAGGTGAAGTTAGTATAGCAGATGATGACAATAATCTAAAATATAATCATGAAGTGGGGAGGAGGATTTAAAGTGTCAGAGGTGAGGGGGGTATTGCAGTTTTTGATGAGCGGGATGAGGAGGGCTTCATTGAGGGGTCATCTAAGCAAACAGGAGAGAATGTAAGCCTTGTGACTGTTTTGGAGTGGAGAACTCTAAGCAGAAAGAACAGTCAGAACAAAGGCTCTGAAATGGAGCTACTTGTGGCACACTGAGAAGAAGCAGGGGAGCCATGGCGAGTGGGACACTGAGCACAGGGCAAGCACTGGGAGGTGAACTGAGAGCATCAGCTAGGACATATCATAGAGGCCATAGTGAGGCCTTTGATTCAGAATTGATTGGGAGGGTTTTGAGCAGAGTTCAGATGTGATTCGTGTTCAGGGGTGAATGTGATTCTACTTGTTGCTGTGAGAACAGGGCATGTTCCATAAAGGTGGGAAAGAGTAGGGTGATTGGACTGGAGAGAGGGCTCAGAGGTTAAGAGCACTGACTGCTCTTCCAGAGGTCTTGGGTTCAATTCCCAGCAACCACATAGTGGCTCACAACTACCTGTAATAAGATCTGGTGCCCTCTTCTGCTGTGCAGGCATACATGCAGGCAGAACACCGTCACTGTATACATACATAATAAAATTAAAAAAGAGGAGTAGGGTGATTAGTGAGACTTCAGTAGTAATCCAGGTAAGTGGTCATAGCATCCCCAAGCCCCTTTCTGTTTTCATTGGACTCTCTCTCTTCTATCTCTATCATTTACTCTTGAAATTTAGATTATGACCTGTCTCATCCCATCAGAACAGAAGACCTATAAGGGCAGGGTAGGCTCCCTCTCCTCTAAAAGATTAGTAGTGTGCACACAGTAGGTTCCTGGGGAAAAGATGCCAAAGGCTCTGTGGAAGTTTTCACACCGGATTTGCTGAAAGCACAGCCTGGGGAGTTGGAGAGTGCCTGTGTGTGCACTGTCATGTGGGGTCATGACAAAATGTCAGCATTTCCCAGAGGGAAGGCCTCGGGGCTGGGTCATATGAAGCGGAAGCAGGAGAGGTTCAGTATTATCAACTCCTTCCTAGTGAAGTTGACCCGTTTGTGTTGTTTTCTAGCTCAGAACAGTCTGTTCTGTCACCTAAAAGCAGTCATTTTTTTGACAGCACTAAGAAGTCTCATAGCCAATGGCCTACTGAAATGAGAAGGAGCTAGGGCAGGGGTTGGAAAGAAATGCAGATCGTCTAGTCTCCCTCAGTTCCTCAAGGTCTGATGTCTTCTACCTTTCCCAGAACGCAGACAGCCCTCCACCGTGTATGTTTAAAGGTGCACACACACACACACACACACACACACACACACACACACACCATTGCCTTAAGGGGAAGCAAAGGGTAAAGGCATAGAGATAGACAAAGTGTAAGAGGTAGTCAGATACACAGGGGATGACAGAGAAAGAGAGACGTGTTTGTGACAGCCAAATGGTGACACAGAAGGAAAGACAGAAGCCTAGAAAAAAGGACAGGAGAAGAGATAGAAATGGAGAAAGAGAGGGGAGAAAGAGTGACTTAAAAGAGACATTTAGAGGGGCTGGAGAGAGGGCTCAGTGGTTAAGAGCACTGGCTGCTCTTCCAGAGGAACCCCATTCAATTCCTAGCACCCCCATGGCAGCTCACAACTACCTGCAACGCCAGTTTCACAGGATCTGATACCCACACACAGACAAAACATGAATGCACATGAAGTCAATTATTTTTAAAAGAGACATATAGCTAACACAGAGAAACAGTGAATGATCAAGGAGGAGACAGAAAAGGCGGTTAAGGATAGCCAAAGGGGGGGGAAACACATCTAGAACACAGCTCCTTAAACTATGGGTTGTAACTCCCCACGGGCCTGCATAGCTGAATGTGAGGGTTTCGAGGAAGTTTACAAAATTTCTGGGTATGTAATGACCCAAAATTAATTCAAAGTCATGATATGACAACTCGCATATGTTTCTGGCAGCAGTTGTTCAGGTTGCGTCATACACATAACATTACTGAAGCCATGGTTCTGAGCAATGACACGCACACTCTGCACTGCACATGCCACCATACAACCCAACTCAGTATTGACAGTTGTAAAATCAAAATATCAGTCAGCTCTTAAAAACATTGAAGATGCTTATATGTTGCAATATCAAACATTCAGAAAAGATTTATTTTTTTTGTGTGTGTAAAAAAGCACATCTATCTCAGTATGCAAATTTACCTTTGTCTTTAATGAACAGTAAAGTTGCATTCATGCTCGAGAATTGTTTCAGATAAATTTGTTAATTAATAGTAAATGTTTGATTTATATACTTATTTTATTTAACTATATACCGGGGGTGCATAAAAAATTTCTTATGTGAAAGGGGGTCATATGTGAAAAAAAAAATCTAAGGAACCCTGGCTGATCTAGAAGACTAGGGAGAGACAAGAGGGCCGTGGGAAACAGGTAGCCACAGAAACAAAGCACGCATGCGTAGGGAGGGAAGGAATACTAAGATTGATGTACTGAAGTGTAGCTCAGGGGCTCAGTGAAAGCAAATGTTAAAACTAAAGCCAACTCCCTTAAAACAAACAAACAAACAAACAAACACTCCAATACAGTAACAAGCAAAGCCCGGGCGTTGCTGAGAAAGCTTGAAGAGATTGCATAAATGAGGTCAGGCACTCCTAAGCACAGTCTAGCAGCCATAACTAGGCCCAATGGAGGCAAAAGATAAGCGTATGTGCACAGAGCATATATGCCTGTGCCTGGACACCCTTGTGCACAGACCCACAGGCGTTTGAAACACACACACACACACACACACACACACACACACACACACACACACACACACACACACACGGCCACACGCGCGTGCATACCGCGGCGTGCACACACACATGGAGGTAGTTCTGGTACCCGGTCTCAGTACAGGGCTTTGTCCTTTTCAAAGGCATTACTGCCATCTAGGGGACATTTTGGAAATCTACAGGAACGGGGGAGGGGCTGGGTGGGAAGGGGTGTAGGTGGCTTCATGTTAGTGCAAAGATGCCCTAATTTTTGCCCTAATATTAATGCAAGATATCTTAATATTTAAGGGTGGAGAGAGAGACAGAGAGAGAGAGACAGAGAGAGAGAGACAGAGAGAGAGAGATCATTACTTAGTGATATGTGGAGTAGTCTGACATTAATAACACATGTCCTGCAACTCCTAGGATTTTTGAGCTTATAATTAGCTGAGCCTAGAATCTCTTTTATTAAGATAAATGAGATTTTCTTTCTTCCAGTTTTAGCATATCCTGAATTATCCAGGAATATGGCTGTCATGTGATCAAGAGGAGACTGTATTTTGCTTTTTGGTGCACTTCACTAGTTTGTAAAATCTCAATATGAAGCCTCTGCCTGTCATTTTCCTGTACTCTGTGAACCTGATTTGTCTTCTACACTACATTTACTTATTGTAAGCACTTACAAGTCTCCAATTATTTTCTCTAATCTCCTGAAGTGTGCCACACCTAAGCACTTCTATATCCAAATAAAATTATCATAAA